GATGTGTGCAGTTGTCTAATGAGCTGGAAGTTCATCTCTAAATGGTTCATCTGCAGTGTGATCAGAGTGGGTCTGGTGCATTGGGTCGTGCTGCCATGGGCCATGGAGGAAAGAGGGTAGAAAGGAACCAGCCATCAGACCACTGAACTGTTTGCACAAGCTGCATTTGGCCTGTGACAGAGGTCAGCTGCTCTTTCTTGCAGCATAATTTGCAAGGAGAGAACATGCAAGTTCTCAAATGTACTATCCCTCTTGCTAGTGTGAATGTTTATCATTCTCAGCTGAAACTGTGAATGCAATCCCATGGCACTAGTGAAACCTTCTGGATAAACAAATCACTCCTGCCAACAAAGTGTAAAATTCTGCTTTATGACAAATGAAAAATTGTCAAAAGAGGCAGAGAGGGATCAGAAATTACAGAGTTAAACATGTAGTAAACTCAACAGTGAACTAAATCCCCTTCACCTTCTCTGTTCCTTCCCAGACAGGTGAAAAGAAGGGCATACAACCATTTTTTCTTATAAGAACCAGAGTGCTTAAAATGATGCTGCAAAATTGCAGTGCACCAGTATTAAAAGTTCAGAAGAGCATCACTGTGTACAGAAAGAACTAACAAATCCTGAGGGCTGACATAAACTGTGTAAGAAACAAATGTCTAAGCATTAGAAACACAGACAGAACTTCTGCTGTGAGCTTCAGCCTTAGCAACTGGAAGCAACGAAAGAGGAAAAGTAACTCTCTGTAGTTGTCAGGCAAAAAAAAAAAATCATAAATCTTTCTTGTGATACATGCTTGGAATTATCAGTTCCAGAACCCATTTCAATTACATACAGGAAAGAGGAACCTCAGGCAGAAAACTAGTGTTATAAAATGAATAGATAGATAGTGGCTTTAAAATTGCACTGAAAATATTGAGGCATTTCCAAATCACTTATGTTTTGTTATAGCGTTTAATTGGAATTTGTGAAAACAAAACCAAAATAAAAATAATAATTTCTTGTTAATATGATAGCGGCCAATATGCAGAAACAAGGTTCTTAGCTTGGATTCAGGCAGTTTGGTCTGGATGACTGAAGTTTGTAGTCACGAAATTGTGCATCAACAATTGTGCATCAGCCACCTACCTCCCATACTTTCCAAAGCACATGTAATGTGGGTGGCAATGACTCAGTTCCACATCTTTGTAAATCAGCCTGAAGTCCCCTCCTTTCTCTGCTCCCTTGTCCCCTTTGTTCTGCACATCAGTCAGATAAGGCCCTGGCATGCAAAGGAGTCCTGCAAGTGCAATCACAGCGAGCTTGCAGGACTCAGCCTGTGCTCATAAGAAGCTCTTGTAAATAATTGAAGAGATTAATGATGTGGAGCCTAATGCTCAGGAGACTCAATATTTAATCATTAATCTAACTCATGCTTCACTAAGGCATGGAGATTTTACAGATAAAATTTAAGAGGAATATTTATTGATCACTGCAATACTTCTGTAATATTTTTAATTGCTAGTTTTTTCTTTGCAGTTATAGTCACTAGAGCTGTGAAAACAGCCAAGTAGAACTGGTAACACTAGTTCAACTAATTAAAGTTTAAATTAGTTTGATCTTCATGTCTTTTGCAGTTAATTATCACTCTAATACCTACAACAATAAAGTCAAATTTAATCCATGAATCACACTGGATTATCTCATGATAATAACAGCAATAAAGGAAAATTATACACAGTGGGAACTTGGTTCCCAGAACCAAACAATCAGGAATAAAATACTAATGAATAATACACTTCATTACAGACAAAACACTACTCCCCATCAAGAGTACCATCAAATTATACAGGGTTACTGACAATGGTGTCTGAAAAGACATATCGTAGACATGAAATCCTTCCAAGGAAAGGGTTGAGTCATCTGTGCTTTTTTTTGCAGAAGCATAATCATTTCACCCTTGCAAAACAAGGAGCTCTATAACAGCAAGAGTGAACTCTTTAAATATTTCCCTGCGTGTAGAGTGGATTATAAGAATCAGTGTGTCATGCTGGGGTTTTCCCTCTCTTTCATTCATATTTAAATTTTCTTTTTAACTCTGGAGTTTCAGGCAGTTTATAGATTTTCCCCTTCAGGACAGAGGCCAAAACACAAGGTTTCCAGACACTAAGCTGCTCGCTTGGCCACAGAATCAGACTCCATTTTATTCATTTCCAAGTAGTTTCATTATTTGGCAGTTTTGGATGGACTATGTTCTACCTTAAACTAGACAGCATGAAAGTACCCTGCTGCTTCATCTCTTGCTTTATTGCCCAAATTTTGGGGTACTTCTAACAAAGAAGTTTCAGTGTCTCAGGGCTCAAGTACCTGAACCACTGCTATCCCTCTGCTGAGGGTACTCCAGCCATTACCGTGGCTAGCTTATTTCCAACTAAAGATTCAAGAAATTTGCTGATTAGCATGTACAGTTTTCACAACATCACTGGGCTCCTAGGTATCCCCACACACATAATAAGGGGATAAAAAACACTTTCAGAGCAGGGATCAGATTTATCACATCAGTTTGCATGGGGACCCTGGTAGTTCATAGCATTAAACAAGCTCCTCACTCAGCATATAACTTTAGGTGACCTCTTTGAAGGGCCTGGTTTTCCAGATGCATTACACCACGCATGGCACAGTCTAGGCTTTGAATTTCACATGAGCATGTGAGGATGAGGGGCCTTTCTCTTCTCTGCTGGAAGACATTCTGCAATGGACTGTAAGATAAATAGAAGGCATTTCTTACCTGCTATAACTCATGTTTTATGACAAGCTTAGAAATGAGCAACATATTGCTATTTAGGCAGCTAGCTAAGATGGTGATGGAGCCATCTCCATGCTTATAGGGAGGGATTGACCTCAATTAATGAATTATACTTTAAGCCATTATAGAATACATCTCCTACTGCAAATTACCAAATTAATGATGTGCAAAAGTGACAACATATTAATTATCCCAAGAGCTGTGTCAATGTTAATGAGGCAAACTGAACATAGAGGAGAAGGCAGTATACGATTTCTTTCTTCTTTCTTCTGGGAATTACCTTTTTTCAGGATTTGTCATAAAAGCAGTGATTGTGCAGATTGTTACACGGTTGGGTTAAATTTTCTAATCACAGTGGGCATTTGTAGGAAGTAAACATAAGGAAGAATATAAAAGTTGAACATTAGGAAAATGCCTACTGAGCCCTTTCAGTGGGAGTAAAGAAAAATGTCCATGGAGACTGGGATGAATAAAAATCCCACAAAAGTACATCCCACAGGCTTGCCCTTTGGAAACAGTGATTGCCTTTACCAGTCCCTTGACTGCAGAGAAGCCAAAGATGGTGGCACTCCTTGGGTCCTACAGCTGTGTGGAAGGACAAGGATCACCCACCCAGCTTGTGGGAATTTATAATTGCCTTCCTGATTCCCCCTGATCCCTGCTGAGTTTGGCCATTCTCTTTGGATGGGGCCTTGAATTCAGGAGAGAGTCTCATGGTGGAAGTTAAATATCAAAATGATGAAAAATTGCTGCCCTAATTTTGGGTTAAACCCTTCTCCTACTTAATGGCTCCACAACCTTCCTGGGCAGCCCATTCTAATGCCTGGCAACCTCTTCCATCAAAAAATCCATCCTAATGTCCAGTCTGCATCTCTCCTGCCAGAGCTTGAGGTTATGTCTTTTTCTCCTGTCACTGGGTGCTCAGAAGAAGAGGACAACCCTCACCTGGCTACACACTCCTTTCAGGGAGTTGCAGGGAGCACTAAGGGCTCTTCTCCAGGCTGAACACCCCCAGCTCCCTCAGCCACTCCTCATAGGGCTTACCCTCTAAATCCTTCAGGAAGAAAGGAGTAAGTTGAGAAACTGTCACCTAATGAAAGTAAATAGAGGAATAAAGTACACATTGCAATTCTTTCAATTCAATACAGTCTTTTCTGAACTTTGTGAAGGAAAATCAAAAAAAGGTTATTTGCTAAATCTTTTCTCAGTTTCAAGGGGAAGGAGATGCACATCAAAGAGAAAGATCATCTCCAACTTTCACAACAAACTTTCCCACAACTAATTATTCTTGCTAAGACAACTCATTACTTCTTTTGATCTTCTTGAAGCAGTAGGGACATAGCTTAATATGCATTCCTCCTTACCTAGAAAGAATTTAAGTACAATTTTCTCGATCTATTCCCAGCTGATTTGAAAATAAAACTAAAATTATTCAAGGAACACACAATCTTAAAGATCAATATCATCTTGTATCAGAATTTAAAAAGAAAAAAACAGACAAAAAGATTACAGAATTTCACTGCATTGTGTTTCAGGGCCAGCAAGAAGGCAACCAGCATAGTGAGCCAACATTTTTCATTTTTTTAAATCCAGATCACTGAAAAAAAAGAGCAAAAATCTAAGCATCCCAGGGGACAGCTGATCCAGACCATAGATGAGCTGCTCTCTGGACACATTCTGGGGGTCAGCAGGGCACAGGGACTCAGGCAGGGGCCAGGCTTGTGCCTCCTCCCTTCACATCAGCTCATCTGGCCAGGAAGCACCAACATTTCCCTGGCTAGGTGAGGGAAGGGAGAACCTCCTGGAAACCAGGGAAGACTGGAAAAACATGAGGCAGGGGACAGGGCCAGTTGGCCTATCTTCCCAAATGATTTCTAATGAATGTTTGGATAGAATCAATAAATTATCATGGTAAATCATGAAGCACTTTGGATTTTGTGAGATTGGTATTTCTTAGCTTTGCTGAGGTAAGGAAAATGTGCAAGCTGAGCAGGAAAAAAAGGTCAATGTGGACTGTGGTTTTCTTATAAAGCTTTAAATAGACTGGCAGAGAGTGTGTTCTAACTTCACTGCCTTAAGAGTGAGTCTCCAAACAAAAAAAAATATTGTTCCTTATCACATTAATTTTGTGACATAAATGACAAAGAGAAGACTGGGCAGGACACTCATGTATCACCACTCCAGTATTTTAGAGCATGAGGCAAGCTGAACAGGGCTTACTTGGAATCTGATTTTCAAATTGGCAGGAACATCAGTTCTCAGATTTCCTGGAGAAGACAAAGGGAGAGAAAGGAAAAGGAAGGCAGAGCTGTCTATCAAATAATTTCCTCTTTTATTTTGCAACCCTGAAAGCAAAGACAACTTACTCTTGTGCTGGTCATGACTTCTGCTGCCTTCCTCTGTCGATATCCTGCATTCCTGAAGTCTTTCATGTCTGCACAGGAGGAAAACATTACCAGGATACATCTGAAGTCTTTCTGTGGCAGGGCACTCCCATCAAGCCTTGGGAGGAGACAGAAATGGAATACAGTTCTCTCAGTAATGTACAGTCAAGTCCAAACTGGACATGTCAGTGAATGTTCAATTTAGGAAACCTGTAAAGATAAAGAAAAGAATCAGCATACAATTTCCCATAGTAGACAAAAACACATCCAAATCTAAGAAAATCCATTAAAATGCCACTGATTATTACACAAAATATGCAGCCCATTCTCTAATACCCGAAAAAGATTCTTGAATTTGTATGATAATTAAGATAAATATACTGATGTGAAATTTTTCATATGCTAGAGACCTAATATCTGATCATAATTATCGCTGTTCATTTTACCTAGCATACAGAAAGCATACAGAAAGCAGTCTTTATGTAGATATACATGGTCACCAACAAAGAGATTTAGGAGAAAATTTAATCTAATCTCAGTGCAAGGTTACTCTTCCAGTGGCTGACGATCACCTTATTCAGAAAACTATTTCTCTGCCCTGGAGACAAAAAGTATTAAATAGCGTTATTTTAATATGACTGTTTTTTGCTTTATAGTACCAAGCAATGCTATTTCTTTTCTCTCCATGCAATTCTGTGTTTTCTCTGTGTGAGCTACAGAGCATAAGCAGATCCTAACTTTGGGAGGTCAGGAGTTTGGCACAATCTTCTTCTGCAGGAGGTTTTTTCTCAATTTGCATATGCTGTTATTGGTCCTTTTCTGCAACCCAAGTAAGTGAGTCCAATTATGGAACCCTGCTGTGATCAATAAACATTGGAATTGTTGCAAGTATTTTGGGGAATAAGATATGAGGCTTTCAAGCATGGAGTGTTTTCAAAATAGGAGAAAATGCAGTAGCTGAAAAGTCTATTTCTAAAAAGGAAAAATCTGTTTATTAAAAAACCCTGGGCTTTGAGACTTTATTTTCTTTTTCATTTCAAAGTCACTCTTATGGCTGATGGACTTTTTTTCAATGCACTTAGTATTTGTAACAAATCAGGAACTAAATAATAGGGACATCTAGCCTTTGGAAGACCATTTAAATGCCTTAACTTACACTATAAAAATATATACATTTTACAGCGAGCATATAACCCTTGTTGCTATTTGTATTAATATTCATTATAGATACTATAATGAATGTCATATTGAAAATCACCAAATTATTTTAAATTCTAAGGAAAAGAAAGAAAGAAAGAAGGGGTTTTTTTCTTGTTCAAGCAAACTCATGGATATGATCCATATGTTCATGTGAAGTCAGTTGTATAGCTATGAGAGCCATATTTTCACTGTATCTTCAGGATACAGACTGCCTTCAAAAAAAGTCATGGTGGATATATGGATTTGCTGAAACTCTCTCTGTACAATACTTTTCACCTAATGGACTGGTATTTAAATGGATGACTTTATTTTTAGGTGGACTTTATAACCAAGCCCCACAGTTAATAAACCTTTGACAGGTTGCTAAGAAGAAAAGATATGGTAATCATTACTGCAAGCAGGTACAGTTTTAGATGTTTAAAGATATAAAACACAGAAATCAAAAGTAGGAGGATTTCAAGCAGCACAGAGCTCAGATCAGATCCCCACAAAGGACCAGTTCATCAAGTACAAAATCATGTAGAATAAATGTAGATCACCTTTGAAATTAATTCTAATCCTCCTCTAATCTCTCCACTTACCCTCCTGTGCACACACCTTTTCAAACTGCTTCTCCCAAGTGGCCATGTATCACCTCTGTTAATGACATGAGTAAATCTCAGAGATGATAGCTAGGAATCTCCCCAATGTCACCATGAGCGATTCACTCTCCAGAAACAACTGGCAGCGGCAGCCAACTAGCTGCCAAGCTGTTGCTGCTTTTTTTAATGCAATGGAATAGGAAAGGACAGGCTTGGGAGAAATGGTTTAAATAAATCTCTCAAGTATCATGAATACATTTGGCCAATAGATGACAGTGTAATGTATGGCAAATTATAACAGCAGAGAAATTTCAGTTTGGGGCCCAGATCCTCACCCCTGGTACAGTTTCAAAAGTGCTTTCATAGAACTGAAAGAAAAATTGCTCAATGTGCAATATATGCTTTTAGCAGGGAATATCTCTAGCCAAGGTAATGATGCAATAAATCCTTTCATCTTTGCTAGATAGTTTGGAAAGTCTTAAGAAGGTATCTTCATTGTAATTCTAACAGAGACTCAGGCTATCAACATTCATCTCACTGAGAATCCCAAGGAATTTTCCTGAGACAGGTATTCTTAGACACCTTTTGTGGGGCAGCAATCAAATGCAACAAAGAGTGTGCAACACAACATACTTTAGAAATGATATCCACCTCTGCTTAAAAACACACCCTTCACTCTAATATGCTATGTAGGGGCAAGAAGACCTCTGTTCATTCAGCCATGATTTGAAGCAGATTTTAAAGCCTTTTCCTTCATCTCCTTTCTTTTATATCATCACTTTTTTTTCAATGCCAACAACCACTACTTGTGGCACTACGCTGAGAACCATGAGGGAACTGATCCAGCTTAAAAATTATTTTTTGCTGTTTCTGCTCTATTGTTGTTTTGAAAACCCAGAGCTGTTCCCTGACCAAGATTTTTTATTTTCCTTTTATGTTAAAGTTTTTATACAGATATGATATTCAAATAAATGCAGTGCAATTTTATTCTCAGATCAATAGAAAGTCAAAGGTTTAATAAAAACTCAAACACATTACCCTTGAAGTTATATAAATATTGAGAAATAAAGAATTTGACTAACAGCGTAGCAGTGAGGTCAAATGTATTATGTGATGTTTAGACCATGACCCATTGCAATGCTTCCTATGTAATCCACACACAGTAAATAACCTCTTGCCTCTGCCTCAGCCTTCTAGTGATATAATCCTCACTTTGAAGGTTCTTGATGAACATGTTTGGTAACTCTTACTTACCAGAAATTAAGGATCACAGCTTCAAGCGCCTCAAGCCCTTAAACTATAACACTCCAGTGAATAACTTTTGCAACTACTTTCAAACTCTTAAAAAAACAAAAGGAATGATCTTTCAAGCAGCATCCTCATCCAAAGTCATCACTGACAGGATACTCTTGTTCTGAACTAACATGCTAAAAAGAGAGAAATCCCTACATATTCTGCTCAGTATGTTTCCCTACTTTCCCCCTACCCACAACCTTGGTGTAGATTTGAGTTATTGCATTTCAAATTAGATATTTCCTGGCCAGGAATATATCCAGTTCTGACACAACAACAGAGAAGTGTCTGACACATCAATTTGTACTCACCTGCCTGGGAACCTACACCTGCCTCAGTCATTTGCAGCCTGGAGAATTCTCATTTACGACAGTAATTTAATAACAAAACAAAAATACATTTAAAAAAAAGGTACAGTCTCCCAAACCAGGAAATGGTAGTATTAAATAAATTATTAATAAACTTCACTGAAAATTATTGTGATCTATGATAAGAGAAAAAAGCTGTTTTTCATTCAGCACCTCTACATGTCTACATTGCCACAGGCACTGTGATCTGTCCCTTATGTTGCTCTTTCTGCCTTAAACCCTGCATCCCTTTGCCTGGTGCTACTATTCTAATTCTGATGGAAAAAATAGGCACAAATCTTAAACTCCTTGTCAAATCTGTCAGTGATAATAAAGGATTCTACAGCCTGATAGTGACACTACACAAATAAGTGGAAGAGTGTGATATATAGAGATACATAGGAACATCATCCATCTTAAGAGCTTTCAGCAAGTTAGTATGAGAGAAATACACCTATCTTACTCTTGACCTGTTAAGTATCAAATGGTGACTATTCTTATATTCTTAATGGTCTCATGAAACAGGCCCAGGCATTTAAATCCTGGTTAAGATTGTGAATACAAACTCTTGATCTCCTTTGACAGTGGGAAAACAGAACAGTGTCTGTTATTCTTATATTAAGCTTCCATGAAAGGAAAACTAACCATTTCATTGAAGTATTAAATCTGCTTTGAACTTTAACTGTACATTGCAATTCTCTATGCATGTAGAGGCTGAGACCTGACAGAGAACAGGAGAAAGGACTTTCCTTCTCTTCCAATGGTGCTATGGATGATACTTGTGGGAGGCAAAAATGTGATCTCTGCTGTAGTATATTAAGCTCCACTTAATCTTGTTACTAATGTCAAATCTACACACAAATTCTAACAAAAACAATTACAAAGATGATAAGGCAATTTCTGCCTCTTAAACCATGATATTTTCAACAGTTTTGAGAGAAATATTGACAGAGCACAGTTTTTCCAGTCTGAAGACATGACCTGATCTCCCCAGGGCCATACCGGTTCTCAGATGGTTTAGTTGTTTACTTCTAGCTCCTTTTTTGGTCACAAGTACAAAGAGGCATAAAAAAAGTTTTGACTCTCCTGAATGCCAAAGCCAGACTTCTGTAAAGTCTGCAGGGAGCCTTAGGGCAAGGTAAGCAATAAGGAAGGTAGCAGATCAAATGACAGTGGACAAACAAGGTCAAGGATTGAGCTTTCACTTGTGTGCTATTCAGGACTCTCTGACACTCTCTGGAGGGGTAACAAGCACTGTGGCGCAGCATGCAGCAGGCTGCAGCTTCCTGAGGGATAGAAGAGCAAAGACACACAAGTTTTAGACCAACATCTCTTAGACTTTCTTCCTAAGTCAGATGTGTTATGATTTTTCACTGGACTCAATCCCATAAAGTGCTTATTTGTCTTCTACTGAGGAGCCCAGAACTGGACCCAACACCGAGTGCTGAGTAGAGGTGAAGGACCACCTCCCTTAACCTGTTAGCAGCACCATGCGTTAATGCAGCCTCTGATGCAGTTGGACACCTTTGCTCCAAGGGCGCACTGCTGCTTGAGTTCACCTTGATGACCAGCAGGTCAGACCCCTGTAATTTTTTCTGCAGAGATATTTTTCCATTACAACAGTGTATGCTGTATAGGGATTATGCTCCCCAAATGCAAAACTATGTTGAGCTGCATCAAGTTGCTCTTAGTCCTGTTCTCCAGTCTGATGAGATCTCCCTCAGTGGTAGCAAATCTACCTGGTGTATAAGCCACCCATCCATCTTTTGCATCACTTGTGAACTTACTG